TCGAATGCAGCGTTGTGTCAAAATTTCAAAGGAATCGGTAGGAACAAACGAACATTACATTTTTATTTATATAGATAGATAGAAGATGATCTGCTTTAGTTCATTTTCACAGAAAAGCATAATGCCTCACAGAAAAGCAAACTTAGGGCGTCGTACTCGTAGCGCCATCTGTTGGACATAAAAGCCTTAACCTAGATTATATATTTTAATTTATATGAATGTTTAACGGAATAATATACAGCCCATGTCCACCCTGAGGTTCCATTCTAAATATTGGTGAAAGAATTTTTGAAATCGGATGAGTAGTTTTGGAGATTACATGCTGCAAACAAACTTACATACATACATACTTACATACTTACAAACATTACCTCTTTATAATATTAGTATAGATAATAATGAAAATATATTTGTTCGATATGATAGAAGCAATATAGATAAACAAAACTCGCATTTTAGTTCACTGAATTAGATTTTGTTGGATTTAGTATTATTTTCTCCCCCTAGACTCTTTACACCTTCTGGGCACTAAGTGGGCCATTTTTTCAAGTCCATTGTGGATTTGACCAGGTCCACAATGATGTGTCTAGGAACAGGGTCTGACATACCATCCCTGAAAAACTCTTCACTTGCCCAGATTTGATGGATTCCCCAGAGCAACAGGCTAATGCCTTACCACCTCAGCTAGCAGATTTAGTATTGTATATTGATTAAATTCAGACCAATTCTGCAATTTTTTGTTTGCTGATGGCATTATAAATTAAATATGTATATATTAGCAGCCATTTTGAGTAGAGGTAACAGGGACAAAGTCTAAAAAATAAGTACTTTCAGACTTGCAGGTGTGTAGAATTTTGTTTTCTAGAAATAAGTATTTATTTCATTAAAAATCCTATTTGAATTCAATATTGTTTGACTTTCCACAATATTTTGGAAGAGTTTTCTTCTGCATTAATTTTCTAATAACTATTCTTATACAAAGTTTATTAATGAAATTTTCATCTCAGAAGAGCAGTTGAAATAATATAGTCATGAAACTATTAGTTGAAAGAGCAAAAAAGTATATATTCTCTTTCAGAATTTTTCTCAGGAAGAAAGGATAGTCAAAAAAGCATAGAATATGAGATTTATCTGAGAAGTACTTGGTAGTGAATGCATGAACCAAACTCAAATGTACAAGTAGCATAAATATTTTAAAGAGAGAGAAATATTGATCAATACAGAGTCATTTCTCCTCCCTCTATTAAATCTTTTTGGTCTCACTACCACTTATTTTCACTACCTCCAGACAGCACTTTTTATGAGAGGTAACAAAACCAAAAAGATAAGATTAATGGAAGGAGAAATAGATGCATGACAACATTATCAGCATATATTAGTTTATATATTTCATTAAAATAATTGAGACAACACTTGCTACACAATTTTCCAGATGTGCTGATCATCTGTTGATATTGTTAGTTGTATTAACCCTGTAACATGGCCAAAATGACCCTTAACCAATCAACCAACCATTGGTAGTTTTCCAATTAAGGTCAGCTTTGATTGACATTTGTCTCTCTCTAAAATGTTTGTGCCACATGTACATTTGAGTTTGGCTCACATATTTGCTTGCACTAACATCTCAAATGTCTTTGTAAAAGTTTTATTTAATTTAATACAAACTTTATATATGCACACACTATTCATGGAAATTGGAAATGTACAACAGCAGAACTATCATATACATCTTTAGCCTATGCAGACTAAACAAAACAACATGACATTATTCAGGAAGGTAGGTGGTACATTGGACATTCCATGCTTTTGTGCTAGCACATTATTTTAATAGAATATATGGATATGAATATGAAGTATAATGAGTTGCTTAAATTTCTTGGCAACAGCTGTTATAAAATGGCAAAAAGTATAATTTTGAGAGTAGGGATGGGTTTTATAAAAAATTGTAAATGCTAATAACAAGTAAAATCATCAAGTCCGGCCCTACTAGAGATACACAATTCCCTTTATCTCCCCACCCCTCAACCTTTAACCACCAAAATTTAATAGCGTCAATCCCAGTAATAAACAAACCTCCCTGCAAACTTTCAGAAAATTTTGACAAAATGCACAGGAGTTAAGTTTCAAAGAGGGTGAACAAAATTGTGCCCCCCAACACACACACTAACATCCATACATACAGAAATTACCCCTGAATTTTTTAGCATTTCTTGATGTTTCAAGATGTCCTGAGTCCAAAAATGTAAAAATCTGGGGGGTCCTTTTTTGACCAATTGCCACTTTTCCACAGTCATATATAACAGCCAGGAAAGTAAAAATTAATTACCATCTTTTCAAGTGTATAAATTACAATGATATATAATTCAGAAAATTGGTAGAACAAAAATAAAATCTTTGAGTAAACCATCTTACCTATATACCCATACCTATAGGAACAACCATTGCTTCATAGGTAGGCATTTATGATTAAAATTTAAAATTATCATATAACCCATCTCTCTGTGTAACTCACATATCTTTCAAATTCTCCTTTAAACACAGATAACCTAAATGTTATGCATATTTTAAAAAAGACATTCTAATGAATCACAAATGATGGATGCTTTTTAAAGTAAAAATGATAAACAGATGAAGAAAATATTTTAATTAGTGAAGATCTTGCACTAAAAATTATAAGAGTAATTTGTAAGTTTTTTATATAGAAGTACTTGTTGGAGATTTATAAATGTCTAAATTATGTAAAACAATTTTATAATTAATTATTATTAATGTATATACTCCATTATCAAATCAATTATTTATTAATGCATTAGGGAGTTTTCTGTTACAGGGGGTTTACATAACATTTACATGTATTTATTAATTTAACGACAGAACTCAAGTTATTTTTTAATGTCTTTTTAACATTATATACTTCGTTATTTATGAATATTTATTTATTTTTCTAGAGAGAATCTTGCACCTAAAATGGCTTTTCTCATCTCTTGCTTAATTACAAGTTTTATTACATGGATCTTTTTGATATTGTTATTTCGTTATACTCTGAAAACGCTTTTTATGTATAAAGGATGGATGTATGAGCCTCGTAAAGGACCTATATCATTAAAATCTAAATTATGGATAGTAAGTATAAAAAATTTTTTGTATGTGATTTAATTGGAATTGTAAAAGAATTAAACATATATGTCAAAATGTATAGGCTTTAGTTAAAGCTTTGGAAGGACGAAATCCACTTTTACATAGTTATCAAGCATCTCTTCCACATCTTCCATTGCCATCATTAGATGATACGATGAATCGGGTAAGTTAAATAGGTTAATAATTTGTATAATTAAGGTAAAAGGATAATAATTTATATTTAAATGTATAATTCATGTGCAAATAAACAATGATTTTTTTCCAGTATTTAAAAAGTGTTAGACCTTTATTAGATGATAAGAAATATGAGAGAATGGAGAAATTAACAGAAGAATTCAAAAATGGAATTGGAAGAAAACTTCAAAGATACTTATGGTTGAAGTCATGGTGGTCTTCCAATTATGTAAGTTTTTAATAATTCATGATTTGTTTCTTAAACACTATGTAGTGTAATTAATCGATCACTTGGCATTCCTTCATCTTTTTATTTCCAATTCAGTTGATATGCATTTTTTATACATGTTTCAGGCTCAAATTGCCCCTCTAACATACGTGAAGGTATGTTAATAGTGTGTATAAAAAATTAATATCAATTAACATGTTGTAATAATCAGTATTGTAATTGCAGTTCTATAAAAAAATCCTATTGTTTATAGACAAAAATAATAAGTCATATACCTATTGTGTACATATGTAATAGTCTGGTTTAAAAGATTGTGATCAAGAGGTATGTTTTTTTAAATATTTTTACCAGTTATATGTGTTTGTTGGCCTTTTGTGAACTATGTACATTTTTATAACTTTTTAGTTGACTGAAGGGGGGACAATTTGAGCCCAAAATGTGTATATAAAAAAAGTGTATCAACTGAATTGGAAATAGAGATGAAGGAATGCCAAGTGATTGATTAATTATACTACAAAGTGTTTAAGAAACAAATAAGATTAACGATATGATTTCAGATTAGTAAAAATAATTCATTAATCAAAAATCTAGAAATGAGATTATATCAGCATCATGATTAAGTTAATTTGTTAATGATAAAATAACAGTATTAATATTTTTCTCAAATTATGTCTGTTGGCATATAATTTGGCATAAAGTTAGTTTAATTATGGTATTTTATATAATTTGGCTTAATTTTAAAAATTTCTTCAGAATCTTCTGGAAGAAATCTTAATAGTTAAACTTTTAATGTTCTGGTGACTAAAAAATATTTTAAAACAAGACATTATTATATAAAAATAAATTTTCCTGTTATTAATCCACAATTGTAACAATTCCCTTTATCTCCCCACCCCTCAACCTTTAACCACCAAAATTTAATAGCGTCAATCCCAGTAATAAACAAACCTCCCTGCAAACTTTCAGAAAATTTTGACAAAATGCACAGGAGTTAAGTTTCAAAGAGGGTGAACAAAATTGTGCCTCCCAACACACACACTAACATCCATACATACAGAAATTACCCCTGAATTTTTTAGCATTTCTTGATGTTTCAAGATGTCCTGAGTCCAAAAATGTAAAAATCTGGGGGGTCCTTTTTTGACCAATTGCCACTTTTCCACAGTCATATATAACAGCCAGGAAAGTAAAAATTAATTACCATCTTTTCAAGTGTATAAATTACAATGATATATAATTCAGAAAATTGGTAGAACAAAAATAAAATCTTTGAGTAAACCATCTTACCTATATACCCATACCTATAGGAACAACCATTGCTTCATAGGTAGGCATTTATGATTAAAATTTAAAATTATCATATAACCCATCTCTCTGTGTAACTCACATATCTTTCAAATTCTCCTTTAAACACAGATAACCTAAATGTTATGCATATTTTAAAAAAGACATTCTAATGAATCACAAATGATGGATGCTTTTTAAAGTAAAAATGATAAACAGATGAAGAAAATATTTTAATTAGTGAAGATCTTGCACTAAAAATTATAAGAGTAATTTGTAAGTTTTTTATATAGAAGTACTTGTTGGAGATTTATAAATGTCTAAATTATGTAAAACAATTTTATAATTAATTATTATTAATGTATATACTCCATTATCAAATCAATTATTTATTAATGCATTAGGGAGTTTTCTGTTACAGGGGGTTTACATAACATTTACATGTATTTATTAATTTAACGACAGAACTCAAGTTATTTTTTAATGTCTTTTTAACATTATATACTTCGTTATTTATGAATATTTATTTATTTTTCTAGAGAGAATCTTGCACCTAAAATGGCTTTTCTCATCTCTTGCTTAATTACAAGTTTTATTACATGGATCTTTTTGATATTGTTATTTCGTTATACTCTGAAAACGCTTTTTATGTATAAAGGATGGATGTATGAGCCTCGTAAAGNCCTCAAATTGAGAGCATAAAGGATAATTGTGAGGGGCTTGGAAAGAGTTTTAATTACATTTCAAAATTCTTCCAAGCTATTTATCAATACCAGATTATCAAGAATACCTTTTCTAAGCATTTTTAAAATTGCAAAATATATTAAGATTTAAATTTGATGATTGATACTAAGAGGGTTTAGCCTGATCCCCTTTGGAAGTTTATCCCTGGCATTATGTGAATTTCTCCTCTGTTTCATTCTATAATAATTCTTTGCATAAACAATTAATATCAGTTTTAAAATTTTTACTTAGAACTTTTTAAAATACAAATATAAAAGTTATCCAGGCAATTTTAAGTTTCAAAAAGATTTGCATCTGTCAGTAAAAGAAGTAAATGTTGTCTGTATTAATTGTCAGAGCATTAAAATAAAAAAAGATATATAGTATGATCACAATTTATAAGTCTTATTTCAAGTGATTTTAAAACAATAAAATCCTATAACGCAAAAGAATGATAAATAAATTTTATTACACTTGTACAAATTAAAATTAATGCACTGTACATGTAAACATGACATTTGAAAAATTCAGTGAATGGTATTTGTGTATTATTTATATTTCTATACAAATATCTTTGACTCAATTTTTTAGAGTTATGTATAAGTTGCATAAGTGTATATTTGAACACTACTTGTAAGTTTTCATTACAAACTTTGACTTTACACTTGATTTAAATTGAAAAAAAATTGTTTAAGTTGGTAATTATATGTTTAAAGATGAATCTCCTAGAATTTTAATATATTCTATGTTATATGACTTTTCATTTATGCATGCTTTTCCAAATAGAACTCTTCAGACTTTGCAAAAATTTATTTTTTTTAGGTACAAAATTCCCTGAAGGTACATGCATTTATCTGAATTATCTCAGGTACCCGAATAACAAAGATATGTGTATACATGTATGAAAATTGCCTCCATTTTCAGCACTACTAATTATTAATCATACTTCCAACTTGTACTAAGATACTTTTAGGTCAAATTCTGTATTTGATCATTTAATGATTAGCTTAATTATAGCTTAAGTATGATCAATTAGTAGGTGTTTGGATAATAAAGAAATTATTAAAATAAAACGCAATTTTCTATCAAGCAGAATTACAATTACAAATTTCAACTATTTCAGGTTTCTGATTGGTGGGAAGAATATGTATATTTACGAGGACGCTCTCCTCTTATGGTCAATAGCAATTTTTATGGAATTGTAAGTTTTAAAATCTTAATAAAAATTACTTTTCAATGTTTATAGTAACGAAATATATACTTAACATCTTATAGTGTATGTTTAAATTTCTTTTGTATTTATGAATTCTGTTGTCATTGAATAAGCTTACTTCAGAATGATTTTGTAAGAAAAAAATTGTATTTTCTTGAAGTATTACTAATTTATTTTAAATAATTTTGTTGAAACTAAAGATAATCTCAATAGTTTTCTGCAATCCATGTTTTTAGAATGATTGTTGAAAATTAAAATTTTATTATTATTATTTTTTGATGGACATACAAATTTTTAGCAGATAAAAATGTATAATAAATTTCATTTCTGATCTGGCTGTTTTAGATTCAATACATGAAATGTCAATGTCAAATTTATGTATATATGTTTGTTTGTCTTTGTATATATAAATTTTGATATTGAAATATTATCAACTAATGATATAAAATATAATTACAGTAATATCCCGAACTTACGCGATAGGTGGGACCGAGTGATAACTGCATAAGTCGGGGTATAATTTTGTAATTTGTGTAAAATCCAAGTCGGATGTATGTAAGCTAATAAGTCGTTAATCTTATCTAGTCTTTTGATTCATTCACGGTTACAAGAAATCATCACTAGAGTCTCTCAAGTTTCCGTAGATATAACAAACACAGAAATAGCTACAATTTATTTTGTGTTATTTATGTGTTGATTCTGCGTGACATGTCCGAACATGTAAGCTGAACAATAGTGTCACGGGGAGTGAGTAATCAAGAGTTGCGTGGCGCTCAAACAAAAGATGAATCAACGAGATTTGAAAATCACATAACTCCGGGTTCGCATAAGTCAGGGTAGCATAAGTCGAGGTATTACTGTAATTAAAAGTCATTTCATTGAATTTACATATAGAAATAATACAAAGACTATTTTTTAAATAAGGTCCGTTTTTTAATAAGAAGAAAAATACTGTAAATATCATTAAAATATATTTTTTCCCACATTCTACATACTTTTTTCTGCTTTTGTACATAATTTCCATTTTTGTTCAAACATTGTCATACCACTGAACAATTTTTTGAATTCCGACTTCAAAGAAATCTAGTGCCTGTGAAAAAGCCAAATTCATGACTGACATTTTGTTGTCGTTGAACTGTTGACCACCAAAAACTCCTTTAAGTATCGAAACAAGTGAAAATCACTGGATGCAAGGTCTGGACTGTAAGGTGGATGATCCAGTTATTTCCATCCAAAAGAACTGATTAGACCTTGTGTTTGTGCAGAAACATATGGCCTTGCATTGTCATGGAGCAACATCATACCGGAAGACAGTAGACCATGCCGCTTGTTTTGTATGGCACACCAGAATTTTCTCAAGGTTACACAATATACATCAGAATTGATTGTTGTGCCTCTCGGCATAAAATCCATTAACAAAATCCCTTTCCTGTCCAAAAGACAGTTGCCATAATTTTTCGTACTGAAATGGACTGTTTGGATTTGGTTGGCGAAGATGCGTGTTCTCATTTCATTGACTGTTGCTTGAACTGAGGAGTCATGTGAGATACCCAAGTCTCATCTCCTGTAATGATGTAGTCCAACAATTCATCTCCTTCCTGATCATATTGAGTCAAAAAACAATAAAGCACTGCCCAATCTTTTTGTTTTGTGATCATCAGAAAGCAGTCTTGGAACCCACCGAGAACACAATTTTCAATAATTCAATTTCTCCGAAACAATGGTATACAAGACTGATCTGAAACCTGTGGAAATTCAATTGATAACATTGAAATTGTGAATCGTCGGACCTCTTGAACTTTGTCATCCACATCACAAACCAAATCTTCAGAAATCAGAGGTCGGCCAGGGTTAATGTGCATGACTCATCATGGACATTAACCCACCCATCCTTAAACATACTCACCCACTTTCGAACTTTACTGTCACTCATAGCATTATCACCCTAAACTTCACAAATCTGACAGTGAATATCCGCTGCTGCCAAGTTTCTTGCACTCAAGAACTGAATAACAGATCATATCTCAGTCGGTGGGTGACTCAATTTTCTTAAACATTATAAACTTTTATAGCTCAGCACACAGACAGACGATATCGCTGCAAATGGTGTCTAAATGCACGCTAAGCATGCTCGGAGCAGACGCACATACGCACTGCTGCGATCACACGTTATTCTCACTCTCATTCACAAACACACCTTATTTAAAAAATAGCCCTCATACATTATAATGCTTAGAAAGAGTATTATTATATAAATACTTATTTTTATTATTAAATTTGAGAAGTCCAGTACATTATTCAGAAACTAGTCTATATACCTATCAAAAATGATAGTTTATTCTATATGCTTTTCTAAACATTTCAATATCACATGAAAAATTAAAAAAAAAACTGAAAATATTCATAAAAAGTTGAATACTGATAAAAAAAAATTACTTTATTATTGCCATTTTATGACATTTAAAAAATGAAATTTTGATTAAATTTCAGAACAAAAACTGATCCTACCATTTTTGTATAAGATGAATCATTATTCCTCTTGGAATATACAAATAACAACAGTTTTTTCTACTTAGGAGCTAGTAGTGTTTTTCTATTAAAGTTTGTTTTAACCATTTACTAACCTTTAACATGCAGTCTTTTTTTATTAACATAATCTAATGTTTTCGATCACATTAATTGATCTTTGTCAGGATTGAATGAACAATTTTTGAATTTATCAATGTTAAAATAAACTTTCAAAAAATTTATTGATAAATTTTTTGAAAGTTTATTTTAGCATTGCTTCACCATCATGATCTTCAAACAGTATTTTTCTATCTTTGATATTTAATAATAATCAATTTCAGTGAAAATATATAGATTAATTAGTTATTGAAAGGAAATTCAATCAATTGCATTGTTTATATTTAATTTAACTTAAAATAGTTTTTTAAAAGTAATGACATGATTAAGGTTTTGAGTTAAGTAATTGTTAATTTTAAATTATTGTAAAATAGTAATATTTGAGCAAGTTTTCACTCATTAGTTCTTAATAGATAATTGAAAGTATTCAAATTAATAGTATTAATAATAATTTAAAAACTGTACAACTGATATAATATTTAGGATGCTCTATTTGTCCATCCAACAAATAATCAAGCTGCTCGTGCAGCAAACTTGATTCATGCCGCTTTCTTATTCAGGAGGAGCATATCGTCACAACAGTTACGTCCAGTATGTATGCTAATGTTTTACAAAAATATTGTAATTTTATTAAATATCATATATAGTATTGTAATTATTTATTATATATGATCATGCGATATCTATTTTTCAGATATTAGTACAACACATTGTGCCTCTCTGTTCTTGGCAGTATGAAAGAGTGTTTAATACTGTTCGCCTACCTGGTATTGAAACAGGTAAGGATTCTAATTAAATAAAAACATTTTGGAATAATAAATTTGATTGATCATATACATTTTTTTAAAAAAATTTTGTTTATTGTTATAACTATTAAATTTCTTAAATATAAGTTTTAGAAAATAATTGAGTTTTTTTTTAAATGAATAGATTTTAATAATGTAAAAGAAATATTGTGTAAGTTGAAAATATTCTAATACTTTTACAAAATTGAAAAATTGGCTAACAAAGATTAAAATGTCTTCATTTAAATTATCAATACAGTTACAATATATCCTTGCTTTATGTTAGGATTATATTCCTGAATTTCCTGGTGTAATTAGCATAAATGAAAGACAAGTTATATTTTAATGGAATGATTTCAAATGTATAAAAATTGACTCTCTCTTAAAAATAATACTAAATATCTGTATGCATTAAACATAATGTCTATTTATTTATACATTACTGCAGAGTATATTTTGAATAATTGATAGATACAAGTGCATTTCAATTTGTGATTCAGTTGTTTGAATGGAACTTCATTATAAATTGAGAAGAGTCCATATAAATTTTATATACATTCAAATATTATTTATTTCTGTATATTTAATTCTATCCTTAGAAATGTTTTTCAGAATTATTATTTTGTCTGTAAACATATCATTATCATCTCAATAAAAACTTTTATTAAATATATCACTTAAATAAATGCCCAAAAATATTGTATACTATTACTTATCAATTTGAAGGAAGGTTCAAATAAAATTAAAATAGTTAAGAAAAATTTTATTAGTTTCAGATAAAGAATGCATTTGATAATTATTCTATGTAAAATTAGTTTTTAATGAAAATTAAATATTCAAACTCATTATAGAAAAAAGTGTTCAGATGAATCTGGATTATAATCTTTAAAAATAATACTTTATACTAATTAATACAGAACTCCATAGGTTATTAAAATATTTTCAACATTACAACAGAGGATAATTATAGAAACAATTAGGCATAAATTTATCTTTATGTAACTGTACTTTTTCTCATAATGTGGGTCTCACAAGCTGCAGTTTGGCTGTGGTGGCTATATTAACCTCTAATGAACAAGAGAGGAGCATAAGTTATAATAAAATGTGTTATTTAAAACATTGTCTGACTTTTTGTATTATCCAAAATAGTTAAGCTCTGAATTTATTAATGATGATTAGTAATTTAATTCATTACTTATGATAAGATATGCAATGTCTTAAATTCTATTAAATAAATGCCTCAACCTTAAATTGGCCTTGCAGATATGTGAAATATCTGTTACAAACATTTTTGATCTACTTCTAAGACCATCCTCATTTATCTACAAAGCCAGTTTTAAGGTTGGGCATTTATTTTAACTTTTTGCCTTCCTATTAGAAGATTAATTTAAATTCAATTATTAATAAATTTTATTTTACTTATATTTGAGAAATTTCAATATAATTTTTTGAATTTATATATTGTGTTTTGTTTATTTTATAAATTATATGAAAAAGATCTTTATAGTTGAATAATCAAAATCTTTTTTTAAAAAAACAGTTATTATGAAATGAAATATAATTCAAGCACAGTATTTAGGTAATATATGATAATTCAAAAATGATACAGTGTAACATATACAATAAGCTTTCAACATTACATTTAATAATGATTCTCTTTATCAAGAGTTTTTCAATAAATAACTAAATTATTTAATTATCACCATGTTGATGTAAAAACAGAAATTAAATATGAATACATGAAAATACCAATATACTAACATTTTCTTATACTTTTAGAATAATATCAATGTATATTTTGCTTTCCTTTGGTGATTATACTTCATATTTCAAGTTGTTATTGATTCTTTTAAATTGAGTTGCTTGAAATTAAAACAAAAAATATAGAAGAAACTTATTAAAATATTAAAATAAAACAAGTGCTTTTAACCTATCTCATCTCATAACTTGTTCTAAAATTAGATGAATAATTTGCATTCTGCAAAATAGAACAAACAATTTACATCCAACATAGAAAATGGAAGTTTTGTGCTTTAATTTGATATATTCTATTTAAAATGTACTTGTAAGTGTTATAGATTTACATTTCATTTACTAGTTGATAAAAGAAATTCATTCCAAATTTAATTTTTCTTAATGATGTAATGAAAATTATTCAATGAAGTTATTAAGAATGTTTTAGTTCACTTTGAGATCAATTTCAATTATTTAACTTCAATTAAATTTTATATTAACAAGGAATATCAATAACAAAACAACATGAACATACAATGTAAATGGTCTTGACTAAAGTATTTCATTATTAATAGATACACCCACATTAGCCTTCATTTTTCTCCTCTACAATTTTATTAACATAATAAAGAAAAAAAAAATGCTATTACATAATTCACACAGTTGAGAGTTTATTGTGTTTTGTTTTCTGAGAAAAATTTAAATAAATTACTGTTTTTAATACACTTAACATCTTTATTATTATGTTAAAAAGTGTCTTTCAATTATAATTTCTTAACATTCATATATTCCAATTATTAAATATTGTGCTTAAATGTTTAAAAAATAAAGAATGAAATTATTATGAATGTCAGTGGCATATGAAATTGTCAAGTAAATAATTTAGTTAAAAGGGAAAAAATAGAGAGAGAGGACGGTTTGTTTTACATTCAGTGGAAATCACTTTTGCATAATTTCTGATTTAAAATTGCCCTTGAAAGATTAATTGTAATAGATTATATACAAAAAAATCATTTCAAGGTTTGGGAAAAATGTTATCCTTCCTGTTACAAAGTAAACATTAATGAAAAAAAGTATAAGTGAAAAACTAAGTTGTTAATAAAGGACTTAAATATCATATAATTGCAACAGAGAAAATAAGAATAATTGAGAAACAAATTATTATAATAATAAAATACAAAATAATTAATATATATTTTTTTCACTTGCTTATTGAAGCTATTTTTTTTATTGGAGCTTATTTTTTTTATAGTGTATAAGCATGTGTATTTCTTAATTTATTTAAAAGTGTAAAGATGAGTCAAATTTTTAAAATCTAGTAGAATTATGAATATTAAAATATTGAATTGTCTTGCAAACTTGAATTGTAATTTCATTAGAGAATAACAACAAGCAGTAAAGATTTAATGTTGAGTATTGCAAAACTACCTTGACTTGATTTTTGAACTTTATGAACACTTCAACTGTTTGTTAACATCAATGAGTAATGTTAAGAAACAGTCCATTAAATTCTCTAGCATTAAATTTGTATTAAAAATTTAAAAAAATTATAGCATTTTAATCATAATTTGCAAAGTAATTATATTTATATACAGATCGGATCAGATATTGTTTTTTTTCTGTGTGATGTTAGATTTGAAATAAGATAATGAAACAAAATTATGGATTTTATTTATTATATATAGAAGAATAAAATCAATTTAAAAATGCAATAAAGTACATATTTTCACATAAAATAGTAGGAATATAAGAAGACTAAAGGAGGATAAAATCCAAAGGGAAAAATACATGGGGTTAGAAAGCAGAAATTATGCAGCTATGTGATTCTATGTACTTCTAGGTTCCTGTTTTAAAGAAATTAATCGACCACTGCATCATTTCAACTTCTTCAGACAAACTGGTCCATTTGCCCGACTCCCAGCACGTTGCAGTCTACCATGCTGGAAGATTTTTCAAGCTGCCTGTCTATTACAAGGGTCGCCTTCTGAAGCCTGCTGAAATCCAAAAGTATGTATTTATATCCTTAAATTTTTTCCTTTTAAAATTATTTGTAACTCAAATGAAAGGGTTATAATCTAGAGTTTTATTTAAAAGGATGAAAATTATATTCAGTTGATAAAAAATTTTTCCTTCTTTAACAATTGATCAATTAACTGTTATATGAATTCCTTTTTAAAAAAATCTCACTTGTTTTCTAGAAAATATATTTATTTAAAAATTAACTCATTGCGTTTTGACAAATCAATCTGCCAACAAAATTGTAACACTTATAAAATTTAAAAAATGAAAGAAGAAGAATTACCAGTCAGTATTATTTATACAAAGTATAAGTAAAATTTTAATTTGTTAGTTATATTATTTCAGACAAATTGAAAAAATAATTAGTGATACGAGTGCATCACTCCCTGGTGAAGAGCATCTTGCAGCTTTAACTGCTTCTGACAGGCAAGTTCTGATTTTTTGTTAATAATTTATTTTAGTTGAGTTTAAAAATAAAACAGTTAAAATCTGCATATCATATTGTGAATTTAATATATTATCAAATATTATGACTTTTAAATGATGTAACAGTATAATTTCAAATAGTAGAAATCTGTAAAATTGCAATAAATATTACAAATGATGACAATATGATTTGTGCAGTGAGATTATGACTAAATTAGAAACAAAAGCATCATCAGATATGCTGAATTAAACTGTTTTAATTGTATTTTTACACATTTTAAAACTTTTAATTCAATAAAACTTCAATTTTCTTTATTAGGACAACTTGGGCAAAAGCAAGAACTGAATTCTTCTATAAGGGTATTAACAAGAGTTCTCTTGATGCTATTGAAAAGGTAATATTATGTTTTATTTTGTAAAATGGTTTCTCTCAGATATTTGCAAAATGAATATATTTATCATATTGTTCTCAGTACTTATTTAAAAAATATATACACAGGTAATTCTTGGTTTTTGTGATTGAAAAATTGGGATCAACCTCACGACTATTCACAAAACATTGTGTATTCATGAATTACTTTACAATATTTCCATTACAGTACAGTATTTTGTAAAAGATGTACTTTCTGTAATATCCAATTTTTACATTTTTTTACGTAACCAAGCAAAGTACAGTAAATACTGTACTGTTAGACTTGATATGCTTGCCAGAGATTGTGAAAAACTGGTTATACTTGTATAACTGGTTGTGTGACAAAAGAATAAAGATTGCACAAAAATTTACATAGACTTGACTAACATAAGGTCAATGCTATAAAAAAGGAAGAGTAAAAATGAGTTCATCATGACTAATGGTTTCCTGAGGAGGTTAACAGCACTGCCAACCTTTTATTACATAATGGAAAAACTTTGTTTTGTGGTGAGTTTTGTAATGTGATGTACTGGTACATATCAATATTATATTTATCAACAACTTCAATTGTTAATTCCAACAGTCACAACATTACAGCAACAATGCCTCCTGTCAGATTGTACATGACAATTATGTAATTACTGTATATATTCTATGTAATGTGAGAAAGACTTGAGGATATGTAGACAGAAGATGCTGAGAACATACTGTACCAAACTGCTGCAGAATCAGATATGATGGTTACAGAAAATTTTCACAAACAGTGGAGAACAGGAAAAAGTGCTGAAGATGCTAATGACAGCATCCAAGCTTTTAAAAATAGCACTATTGATAGCTTGTGCAAGGAGTTGCAAGAATCTGACTATTCCTGCATGAATTTCAATTTTAAGTGAGCTTTGGAAACAGCCTTGCTCCCGTATGCTGAATTCTTGAAGGATACAAATAAAAAAAGTCAATGAAACAACATTAACTCAGTTTTTCTAAACTGTTGTAGCTCCTTCACAGCAATTTAGAAAATGTATCTTACTAGAGTCATTGTCATATTGTGATATTAATAGATTTGAGACAGAGTATTGTAATTAGTATTAGTATATATAAATTATCTTTCACTCCACCTAACTCCGAGCATTGGCATGTTTGAATGTGTATGTAAGGGCTTTGTTTTCAAGATATTGTTAGGTCAAAGTCATGGACCCCCCCCATTTCTTATTACAATTTTGTATTCCTCATTGCAATTAATGGAAAATGGCAAAGTTTTATCAAAATTGGTCCATCAAATTTTGAGACTGAACAGAATTCTATGTCATATATTAAAAATATTAGTGAAGCCTCTTTTATATCTAAATGACATTGTCACAATGCCAGGCTACAATTTTTAATCATATTTTTTATTTATTTAATTTAAAATATCCTCTCCACCTCAAATTAGCAGTGCCTTGCCCCTGTACATCATACTTGACTGGTACAACTCTATTGTTAAAGGAAATCTATCTAACACCTTTCGGAGGGGATTTTTGAATTAGAAATAACATGACTTCTGGTTTGCATTGGAAGTTAGTATATAATTAATTGGGACCTCCTGCCCCTAAGGTTTCCATATCTGATCTTGTTTTTCATCAATCTAACTTCAGGAAAGACAGACAGATGACAGGGGGCATTTATAGGTTTACAATTTTTTCAAATTGCAGCCCAATAAATCCTTGTTAGTTGTTATTACTTGCTTATCAGAATCATCTGCAAAAGTTTAAGTATTCCTGAGACAGCAACTTGCAAATGTCACAAGTTACCTGTATACATACATGAAACAATTCATTATTTTGAGCTCTAATTATTTTTAATTGTCTAAATAATAAAAACTGATAATATTGTACAATAGCTAACATTTCTCTTTATATATAAAATAATTTCTTTTTTAATATACACTGCTAGCCATTAAAATTGCAACACCAGGAAGGAATGATCATATGAACGTCAAAATCATATGAAAGGAAGAGGTTGGGATATGCAAATGATTAGTATTTCAGTGCATTTAGACAATGCAGGAGGGACAAACGACATTTGAAGCACTGCATAAAAGAAAAGTTGTGCAGTGGATTTCTCATTCAGAAATCGCTTTGTAAGGCCGGGGTTTCATCAGAATATCGTGTTATGCCTCGAATAAGAAAAAGAAATGCTTACCAGCAAGTGTTGGAATTCAATAGAGGCAGGATCATTTCCTATCGAGAGTGCGGATTATTGTTCTGTGATGTTGTCACTCGCACTGGTCGAAATCCAACCACTGTCATGCGAATATGGAATCGATGGTCTACTGAGGGTCTTACTGAATAGCATGAAGGATCTCAACGCCCTCCCATGACTAATGCTCAAGAGGACAGACATATTGTGAGGTCGGCCGTGCAAAACCGTACAACCACATCATGGACCATTAGTCAGGAAATGAGCTTGTTTGCAGCATGTCCAGTATCTGCTCGTACGGTGTGACGACGTTTACAGTAGCGAGGACTGTCAGCACGGCGACCATTACTTCGGCTTCCCTTGACAATGCAGCATAGAGAGAGACAGCAACTCTGGTGCGCCCAACGACAAAGCTAGATACAGGAGTGGCACAATGTCGTCTTTTCAGACGAGTCCCGGTTCTGCGTGCAGCATTCTGACGGCTGTATACATGTCTGGAGGCTCCGAGCAGACCGCTCGTCACCTGCTTGCATTTGATATTGGCTTAGAGGCCCTGCACCTAGTGTGATGATATGGGCAGCCATTGGGCATACGACACGCACATCTCTAGTTCGGATCGATGGTAATTTGAACGCAGATAGGTACATTTCTGACATCTTACGTCCAGTGGTTGTGCCCTATCTTTGAGGCCTGCAAAATGCCATCATCCAACAAGATAATGCAAGACCTCATGTTGCACGTGTTCTGACCTTCCTCGATACAGAAGATATTCAATTGTTGCCCTGGCCTGCACGGTCCTGCACAGATCTCTGATTAATTGAAAACATCTGGTCATGGGTTGCTGAGAGACTGGCCTGCCGCCCCTCTCCTGCTAATACAGTTGATGAAGCGTGGCATAGACTTGAAGCAGCTTGGAATGAGTTGTCCGTTTCTGTCATCCAAGCCCAGTTCAACTCCATGCTTAAACGGATAAGGGCGGTTTTAGCCGCCGGGGGTGGCAACTGTGTCTACTAATTTCGCACCCCTGTAAATCCCCAAACTTTTGCAAATTTAATCATTTTGTCTTTATGCCATACTGTTTATGTACAATAAATATCTTTTTTTTTATTTGCTTTCCTTCTTGGTGTTGCAATTTTAATGGCCAGCAGTGTATATGACTTTATGCTCTAGGAACTGCACACTGCACAAGGATATCCTTTAACCTCTATTAACTTTTGATTGAATAATTTTCTATTCTACTACTAATTATAAAATATTAAGTTCTCAGTTTAATGTAGCAAAAAATTGTGGAAATTTTCTCTTTTAAGTGAAATGTTTTCTGAATAAATTTCATAATTCAGTAATAAATCATGAAATATTTTTAAGTGTTGATGCATGTAACCAAGCACATTTATCAAAAAATTTTCTTAATTGACAGAGCAAAAATAAAAATAGTAATCACTTTTATATGCAAGAGGGAGAAAATTAATAATTTTCAATTGCTAATATTTTTACATTTTTCTTACAGGCAGCATTTTTTGTTGCTTTAGACGAGGATGAATATGAATATGATCCTGTAAGTTAAATAATTAATCAAATACTTTTCTGTTGAAATATCATGTCACAATTAAATAAAGATGATTATATTATTTTCAGGAGGATTCCACAAAATTGGACAGATTTGGTCGATCTATGCTCCACGGTAAAGGATACGATAGATGGTTTGACAAATCATTTACTATAATTATAGGAAAAAATGCAAGAGTAAGTTGTTATTCTGAAATTTATAGGAAACTTATTACATTTTCTTACCTAATTCTATCAAATTATACTTTTAGGTAGGTTTGAATGCAGAACATTCTTGGTAGGTATCAAATGCTTTCTGAATATTTTGTACTTTTTAGAATTCTAAAATAATTTATTTATTAAAGGGCCGACGCTCCGATAATGTCTCATATGTGGGAATATTGTCTTGCACACGATTTTATTTATCTTGGGTAAGTAAGTTTGCTTGTACATAACATAAACATGTGCACATTATTTGATGTAATTTTGTTTTATAATTTGTTTTTCTAAAGATATACAGATGAAGGAAACACTAGAGGTAGAAGTGAAAATAATCTTCCTCCTCCTATTCGTCTTAAATGGGATTTAACACCTGAGGTTACTTTTCAAGATCAAAAATTTACTTTTGATTTTTTTGCATTTTTACAAAATATAAAAATTTATTAATCCTTTTACAGTGCATTCAAGTAATCAATATGTCAGTTGTAGCATCCCAAGAACTGTTAAAAGATGTCGATCTGAAACTTTATGTACATAACAGTTATGGAAAAGGTTTCATGAAAAAATGTAGAGTCAGTCCAGATGCATACATACAAATGGCTCTGCAGTTAGCTTATTTTCGAGTAAGAGACCATTTTGTAGTAAATTTTCTTGTAGTTAGTCCTTTCGAATGTAATTTTCACGTTCAGTTTTTGACCACAGGATGCAGGAAAATTTAATCTCACATATGAAGCTTCCATGACTCGCTTGTTTAGAGAAGGAAGAACAGAAACTGTGCGTCCAGTAACTTCAGAGTCTTGCACTTGGGTGAAGGCAATGTTGGATCCAGACTGCCCGGTATGAAAATTATCATCTTTTTATTTAATTCTGTAACTATCTATAACTAATTAATGTATTTTTCATTTTTCTATTGAATTGAAGATAAAGAAAAAGCAAGAGCTGTTAACAATTGCTTGCGATACTCATCAGAAGGGTTATCAAGATGCAATGTGTGGTAAAGGAATCGACCGTCATTTATTTTGCTTATACGTCGTATCTAAATATCTAGAAGTTGATTCGCCATTCTTAAAAGAGGTTCTAAGTGAACCTTGGCGTCTCTCAACAAGTCAGGTAAATTTTAAATTAATTAATTAAATTTCAGATACTGTGTACTTGAAAATTACTTCATATGATTCAATAATACGTTAGACTCCACATGGGCAGACAGAGCTGATGGATGTCATCAGAAATCCTGAATACATATCTGCCGGAGGTGGATTTGGACCGGTAAACAATTTTAAAATTTTATAGTTTTCTGTTTGCTCATTGTATTAATAATAATAACAAATAAATATATAAATTAGGTTGCAGATGATGGATATGGTGTTTCATACATTATTGCAGGAGAGGATATAATATTTTTTCATATATCGAGCAAGAAAGCTTCCCCCGAAACAGTTAGTAAAATGTTGTTGTTCTTAACATTTCTTTTTAAAAAACTGACACTGAACTGTATATTTTAGGATTCGCACAGATTCGGAAGACAAATCGAGAGATCTTTGGCAGACATGAAACAGCTTTTCGAAAAGAAATAATCCAATCAATGCACTTCCCACACTTAATTTTATCAAACTGTTATGTTTTTAATGTTTTCCAGTTGTTGCCACTTAGACTCGATCTTAAAAAGTTATCCAGTATAAAAACAGCTATTTCAATTTATAATCGAGGACCAGAATATTGAAGAATGCATTTGAGTTCTGCCAAGCTAGAAAATTGGACAGACGGGTATGAAAAGGATAAGTCAGCAAATATCAATGCAATTCATTCTCAGAGGATAAGCCGACGAGAGGTCGTGCTGCAATAAAATCAATGCAATTTTATTATTTTACTTTCAGACGTCATTGACCTTTTTGTCACTCTAGATTTTTTAAAACAAATTGTGATTATTATTTTTTTTTATCATCATCGATTTACAGAAAATAAATATTCATAGCCATTATAAAAAAACAATTGTTTTTAATTTAATATAAAATTACATAAATACATCCTTCCTTTTGTTATTTGTGTGTTGTTTAACCCCTAAGTAAAAGGAAGTATGAATTGTAGTCGGTATTTAACCCTGTATATCCTTAATCCTGTTGTTAATTTGAGAAAAAATTTAATAAAGGTTTATTTAAAATTACATTTAGAAATTGCTCAAGTTTTTGTTTCATTTTATTTCAAAAGTTGAGAACAACAGGATTTTCTTGTGATGCAAATGTTAAAGCTAATTGTAAAGCTCAATTTGAAAAATTACAACTAAAGCATTACTAATTGTTCCCACCTCCAGTCAGAATAATATTTGTTTTATTAAATAAATAAATAAAATACAAACTGTGCATTATTATTATACAAATGAAAAGATCTGTTTTGTAGTTGTGTTCTTGTATACTCAAGTTCAATTTTGATTCTTCTTTTTGGGCTAGAAGAAGTGTAAGGATTTATTTATTAATGGATTGATAATAGATTAAAATTTAAATTTCATTAATCATGCAGATAAACAGCATACGACAAAGCAATAAGCAATGTTACATTTCACAAGAAAAATTGAGGCAATAATTTAATGTGTTTTATCAAATATTTTATAATACAGTAGAGCCTCGATAACTCGGTCACACCCTGGCAGGGCAAAAAAATCCTTAGTTAATTAATTTTCATTATAGACAACTTTATAAAAGTATAAAACCTCTCATAAAGTATTTTTCTGAGGTCTGTCTTATCAGGTAAATTACTGTACACAGTGTATTCATTAATTTTCATTTTCATGTAGTAAAGGCTCTATGCCTTCATAAAGGACGTACTTTTCCTTTGTTTAAGGGTATTTGGGCAGTTTATTCTCTGTTATATTCTCAAGTAAACAATACATACAAGTACAGTACAGTATTTTCTGAGGAAACACTCATACTTAGTTTTTTTAACCCTATTCCCGATAACCCGGCATTTTCACAAACTCGGCCACCCTTCGGTCCACATTAGGCCGAGTTTTCGAGGCTCTACTGTAATAGATATTAAATTAGTGATATATATAATTTAGACTAAACTAAAAAATTCCTGTGGTTTCTGTCTAGAAATGTTGGGTTTTATCACCTGGCCATCGTGAGCATGGGGGGAAACTAATAAAATCATTGCACTAATAAATTTGTCTTTAAGAAAATTATGTCTTCAACAATGTTCCCTCTAAGCTGCGCGGCTGCGCACTGCTCAAATTGTTGCCGTGCACGAGAATTTATGTGCCACGCAGGCGAGCATGCACACCGATTTGAATTATTGTTTACTTATTTCTCACTCCATCTGCAACATGATTATTGCTACGTATATTTCGATTAAATACATTAAATCACTGACAAGAGATAATATTTTGTATAAAAGTATGTTTTAAAATTAATTTTAATCTCTACTTTATAATTAATCATTTTAATTTTTATAGAAAAAAATAAGATTTTATATATATATATGATCAGAAAATTTTTTTGCTCAGAATCTGCTTAGTAAAAACTTTTTTGCTCAGAGAAGTATGTGTTCCGCTCATCCACAAAAAAAATTAGAGGGAACATTGGTCTTCAACAAGCAAACATTTTGATTTCCAATTTTCAGTAGTCATATTCAACAAGAACAAAGTCAAAATTTTGGAATTTTTAATTATAATCATTGTCTTGAGCATTTTTTTACTTTCATTATCAATTTTATACATTATAAAAGATAATTTTTAACACTTACCTAAATATTCAAATACATTCTTTAACTTTTATGTAACTTCTTCAGAATGTAAAGAATTATCCGAATCCTAAAGTATAGATTTTTGTTGAATTAATAATTATTTTTAGATGATTATTCAATATGTTTGCATTTTTCTAACCTGAGTTTTGCCCTCTGAATGTAATAATTCTTCTGATACTTCTTTTTTGTCAGATAAGGACTAAAGTTAAATAAATATTTCAGTCAAAAAGTATTTTCACATCTATAAGCACAATGTATTAAAATAATAATATTATTTTTATTTAATTTAAAGACGTTCTAGAAATATTCTTAGTATATTTATACCATTTTAATTTGAAATTTTGAGCTTACAGTTTCTTTCTCCTTTAGAATATTATTACTCTGTTGTAGTTGCGGCATCTCCAAGAGCAACTGGTTTAATTGTAATTTCAATTCTAGATTTTCTTCTTTTAGTTTTAATACCTGAAAAACAAAACACAAACAATTAATGTATTGTTCATTGAAATTTTTGATATATTAAAAAATCTGTAGCAAGATAGAGTTAATTATATTTATGAAGTACATTTTGCTTGGTTCATTGGTTGGGTTGCATAGGGTGTGACAACACAACACATAGCCTATTTGCCAAGAGGGAATACTTTCTAGAGGATTTTCTATGGAAAACTAGCTCCTGTTTAGATCTTAGATATGTGAAGTAAACCTGGAAAACTCCACTTGTCCAGTTTGTTGGTTAGATGTGAATCCAAGACAACTACAAGTGTTCAGTGATTTTTATCTATTTAGTCACTGGTGAGCACTGAAATACATTTGAAACAATGCTGTTTGCTTTGAAAGTAATTGCAAATTATATTATTTAAGAAAATTTTAAATTATGAATTGAAGCATGAAACAAACCTTTTAATGATTAAATTAATAAAAAAGACTATAATAATTATAAGTATTCAGTGTTAAAAATATAAACTTGTAATATTTATGCAGATTTGCCTTTTATAATATAAACTTTTTGCTATCTGTGCAACTTTTATGTGCAAATGCCCATTAACAATTTGATTTGATTGTTGTTATTTATATTTGATAAATTATTTTTGCCTACAAAAATATTTTCTAAAACAACTTAGTATAAAAAATAATGAATGAAACAACTAGAAATTTAAATTTTCTCAAAAGTATTGTATTAACAATGCAAATGACATATAACATTTGATAATCTTTCTATTTTAGCAAATATCACAAATATATTCTAAGCTATTAGTTTTTCAAAACTGCAATGCAGCATAATAATCAACACTTGGCATTACTCATTCATTTATTTCAGTTTTTGTTGAGACGCGTTCTTACACACAGTTTTTATTGAGACATATTATATTCTAAGCATTAAAACTAACAGATATAAAAATTATAAGTATAGATGTATATATACTCATAGATAAAATGTTGGAGTAGTTTTAAATCTTGTCATGCATCTTTAACTTCTGCTTTGCTGGTTTATTTGTTTGTTCCTAACAACACAGTTAATAAAATATGCAGTGCTTTTCTACATATTTATCATAAGAGAGGTATCCACATGGCATCTAATTGACTTATGAGATTAAATCATATAGAAAAAGTTTCATGCATTTGTTAAACTATTATTAACTGAACATATTGAAAGCATTTATTATTGTAAAAAGTGCTACATGGAGAACTGCTGTGTTTGCTTTAGTCTATAATTTAAAATTACTCAGAGATAGCATAGACATCAACATCATGCAATTAACAAAGGTTTTTCACAAGCTCCATGAAACTTAGTTTATTTCTGCCATTTGTCATGGTGTTGTGCTTGTAGAGATGTATATCTCATAACCTCATTCCATACATTTGTCACTCCAGTACATGTACTGTCATCTATATATAATGTCTTTCATTTTTATCCTGGAGCCTTGTCTAATGAAAAATGACCAGTGTGATTGTAATGAGTGATGATTTGATGCATTGTTTTGCTTAATTTCAATCAGCCAATTCATCAAATTGCACACCTTTTCTTTTTGAAGTAATAATACAGGGTGGGGGTAGAAAAGACAGAAGTTTTTTTAAAAAAATCACATCATCTGTAATTGTTACTACAAAAGATATTTGTTGGAAGATGTGAGTTCGTATTGACATAGCATTTTACAGAATCAAGTGTGAAAAACAAGATCTCCCATATGGTGTTCGTTATCAGTGATGCATTTCTGGAGGCATTTTTGGAAGTTGACATCCACTCTTTCCAACATCACTCTGTCGATTTTGGAAATGGTATAATTTAAGTCTAAATGCAGAATACACCGTACTGAACAATAACCAAGGCTAAGTTGAGAAGAATGCTTCCAAGCAGATCAATGAGGACTGCTCAGCAAGACTAGTCTGACGTTCTCCACATTTTCAGGGATGCCATTCATGGTGCTCCTGGCAGTCTTTTGTTCATTAGTGTACCTCGTGTACAAAGTGCTTTAACCCAACATAGGATGGTGTTACAAGCAGGAATAGCTTTGTTTCTGTGTATATTGAAATGATAATGAAACTCATGCTGAACTGCCATGATAGACTTGTTATTCTTGAGGAAACAGTTGTACGCAAACATGTGGTGTTCTATTGTCCACAGCTCCATGCCTTCAACTGAAAAGACAATGCTAAGACCTCACTACCTTCATGCCACCTGCCACACATCTGTCACTCCACCTGGTGGTGAGTTCTAGCCATTTCAAAAACATCCATCCTTTCTGCCCCACCCTGTATAACAACAGAATTACTACAAAGAATATTTTTTCATTCCTGTTAAAATTCCCTTTCAACAATCATCTGTTTTAATGATCATTGTCTAACTGTTTAAATTTAAAAAATACTAATGAAAAATGGATGATTGTGATTGGAGAAATAGATCATTAATCTAGTTAAATCATTCAACTTAAAATACAGCAATCTTAGCAGTGATTTTTACTGTGAATATTTTATTTGTTTCAATTACTTGTTGATGATTATTAGTCTAATAAAGTTTTATCAAAATACTAAAACTGAAAAACAATTTAAGACAGTTCAGTTTTTAGTTGTTAGGAGAAAAATAGTTTTTTTTACCTTAATGATTTTCAACATGCATTCACTATGCTTAGCAATATTAGCTTCCTAATGCCTATGACATAACACCAAGAAAACTGTCACATTTACAAGTATGAGGTATTTTCAGCAAAATATCCCACTTGGGATGATATATAAATAACTATTTAATTAAACCTGGTAANGTACAGCTAGTAATAAATACAAATATAACATTTATTGTTTCTGTTTTAAATGTATTAAAAATGAATACATTTTTAATTTTTATTTGTAACAAATGAAAACAAATCAGGAATTATATATCATAAAAAGTATATTTGTTTAAAATAAGCTATATATTTAACATTTAAAATTAGCTTATTCCATAAAAACAGTGTAATAATTAAATATGATTTTTATGATCTTTTAAAAATTCCTCAAAATCAAAACTTTATCATTTTATTGGGTTGTTCAGAAAGTAATTTCGTTTTTTTTAACCACTAGATGGATTAGTTGTATTTTTCCCGCCATTTTTATTATCATTATATATTTTGACAGCTAGCATTTTAAGGCTTATTTGTAAAAAATTTTGTTTGATTTTGTGGAATTGTTTATTTTTTGTGTCCATCAAATATGGAAGATCGAAAGCAGCATTTTTGGCATATTTTGCTCTTTTATTACCGAAAAGGTAAGAATGCTGTTCAAGCAAGAAAAAAATTATGTGACTATTNGCAATTGTTTATTTTTTGTGTCCATCAAATATGGAAGATCGAAAGCAGCATTTTTGGCATATTTTGCTCTTTTATTACCGAAAAGGTAAGAATGCTGTTCAAGCAAGAAAAAAATTATGTGAGTATTGACAGAATGACCGTGCCAAAACTGGTTTACAAAATTTCGATCTGGCAATTTCAATATTGAAGATGCACCATGTTCTGGATGGCCAGTTGAAACCAATGAAAACAAAATAAAGGTACTGATTGAAGCAAATTGCCGAATAACAACATGTGAAATCACTAAGAGATTAAATTTGTCAAATTGAACTGTTTATGATTACTTGAAACAAATTGGTTTCGTTTCAAAGCTCGATATATGGGTTCCACACGTTCTTAAAGAGAGATGCTCTCTTTGGTGGGATTTTAAGGAAATGTTTTTTTGGAGCTTTTACCAGACAATTTAACAATTGATTCAAAAGTGTACTGCCATCGAGTAAACAAATTGAGTAATATAGTCAAACAGAAAAGGCAGCCAGAATTGATCAACAAAACAGGTGTAGTGTTTTACCATGATAATGTCAAATTTCACACAAGTTTGGTAACTCGTCAGAAACTGTTATAACTTAGATGGGACGTGCTATCACACCAACCATATTCGCCAGATCGAGCACACTCAGATTATTACTTGTTCCGGTCTATACAAATTTTTTTTAACTGTAAGACATTTACTTGAAATGACAATGTCAAAAATCACTTGGATCAGTTTTTTGTAAGCAACAATCAAAACTTTTATGAATGTGAAATCATGCTACTACCAGAAACTATGACAACAGGTATTTGACCAAAATGGTTGATATATAATTCAATAAAATATTTATTTATTATAAAAATATTGTGTTTTTTTTCCACAGAAAAAAAAACGAAATTACTTTCTAAACAACCCAATAGTAGTTATAAATTAAACATATCTGTATGTAAAAATCATATTTTTTAAAATTAAATTTATTTTAAATTATAAAAATATAAAAAAGAAAAGACAAAACTTGTTGCAAGAATGGTGTTTTTAACTACTCAGCAGTGAGCGACAAATATATTCATCAAGGGCGATCATGTGGCAGTGGTAAGGGATGTATATATATGTCAAATTCTTTTGGGGTATCGCCAAAAACGACCACAAAAAAATTCACATAAAAACTGAATTATGTAACAATAAAAAAAGACTTTTCTTTACTAGACATAACTGCTTGCAAAATCTTTTTCCGAAACAGTAATGAGAAAAAACACGTGGAAAAATACTCTAAAAATTTTGCATGTTTATTCTCCACTACTAAAGGGTAGCACCATACCTGACTATTCCATTGTTGAAAGGTTAATAGTGATTAAACAAGAAATAAAAATTACCTCCTCTTCATTATGTTCTGTTTCTTCTCTATAATCTGGCATAATTTCACTCTTAAAAAATAAAAATGATGATAATATTTTATTTAAAAAGTTCTTCATAAAACAAACAAAATTAAAATAAATTTAACTGTATTTACTTTTTTTTCCTTCTCTTTTTCTAGCTTCTCAATTTCACTTAATAATTTTTTGTTTGTTTCTTCAAGTGAAATACATTTATTTTTTTCTGTCTGCAGTTTTTCTGCAAGTTCTGCATTCTGGTTTATTATTATTATTATTATTATTATATATGTTTGCAGATGTGAAAGACTAAAAATATTTATTTAACTTACATTCTTCTCTAAAACTGTAGCTTTAGTTTGTAAGTCTTGATAAACAGGATTTTTTATTACACTTTCATTATTTTCTGCAGATAATTTCTGATAAAGATTTTTAATTCTGTTCTCTAAGATCATTTTTTCTCGATCAGATCTATTTATCTGAAAATCAATAAATTTTCTGCAATAAATATTGCTAATAAAGTTATAATTAAAGAAAGCTGCTCTTGAATTTAATTATTATTAATTATGATTAAAAAGTACCTTATCTCTTAATAATTTTTCAGTCTTTTTAAGAGATTCTAACTCTTCTTCTTTGGCCTGACAACGCTGTTTTAAACGTTCGACAGTTTGCTGCCATTTTTTTCCTTCTTCCCAACGAATGATTTCTTCCTGTGACTGAATTAAACAAGCAGAATTTTAAGTTGAATAATTTATAAGATTAAATACACAGATTTCTTTTACAGAACTTAACCTTTGTTAGATTGGTAACTTCATCGTAGGGTTTTTCAGGTTGCTGATGTCTCTTTAATTGCTCTTCTAGAGTTAAAATTTTCTTTTGTAGTTTAGAAATTTCATCACTTTCTATGGGTAGCATTTTCCTCTATAATATATTAAATTTTGAACAATTGTTTGAAAAATTAAATAAGACAAATAAAAATATACCTCTTGTATATTTATCTTCAATTTGTTAATTTTCTTTTGCAGCATTTCATTTTCTTTTCTTAATTTTGTGATTGTATCTAATTTTCGAGCTTAAATAAAACATTCATCAGATTATTTTTTAATTAATAAATTAAAAAATAATCATAAATCAATATTACCTAAATCTTCTTTGAAACTTTGTATTTCTTTTTCCATTGTTGATGATTTGTCGGTTTGCAATTTCAAATCACGTTTCAGTTTCAAGTTTTGAGATTCATAAAATTTTATTTTTTCCTGAAAATTATTCAATTTAAAAATAATTTCATAATTATATATATTATATAAAGTTTAAAACTTACTTGCATTTCTTTTGTGTTAGTTTCTATAATTTGTTGTATTGCAGCATCATGACTAGATCCATATTTTTGTAAATTAAGATGATCTTGCACAGTAACCATCATATCTGATCTTAATTCTGTTAAAGCTTTACTTAAAGCCTAAGAGAAGGATAAATATTATCTGAGTGAGACAAAGAAAATAAGATTCTGCAGTTTAATTTTTTACCTTTAATTGCTTTTCTTTATCAGCTAATTCCTGTTTAAGATTATCATATAGAGTAACAGATTTTTCACTTATTTCAGGCTTAAAAAGTTCTTTTTGAGACTCTAATTCAGCTTGCAGTTTAGAAATTTTTTCTTCGTTTTGCTTGAGTTCCTGATTTTTCTTATTCAGTTCCTCCTCTAATGCTTGGACATTATCTTTTAATTCTTGTTCTATACTGATATTATTAATTATTATTTAATGAAAGTAACAAAATTGATAATTTTTGATTTTTACAAAATTTTAAAATAAAAATATTATTATTTTAATTACTTAAATCCTGTTCTTACTAGAAATTCAGTATCTTAAGCATGATTATTATTATTAAACTAATAAGAATCAAGTAAATGTTTGTCATACTTATTTGATTCTCTGATAATCAGATAAGTATGACAACAGTTTAAATATTAAAATATTTTGAAATGAATATAATTACAGGTTTTTTATTATATTTAAATAGAAGACAAGATATTTTCTAATCTCATTTTCTAAAGCCAGACACAGAAAAACATACAAAAAGACAATATGATTTTTTCAATTAACCTAGCAATAAATAAATAAATGAATATACATCATTACTAACATTTTCAGTCTTTATCTAAGACCTTCTTCAGGTAGTGTTTTCCAAAATTGAATTTAATTGTAATAGGCAACACATAGACTGTGAATAGATGCACCCCATTGGATACTTAAGAAAAATTTAAAAAGAAAAAGTTTGAATTTGAATATGTCGGACAGTCTTCTAAATGTTCCAATCTAAAATGCCAGTACCAGAAAAATCTTAGACCAAAAACATTAGTAACAGTTTTCTCATTTACATGCAAGGTCGATGAACTTATATTAATATATATTTATTTATATATTGGGAATGCCTTCCTTGAGGACTTTCTATGAGTAAGTGACCCTTATTTAGGTGTTGGACGTATAGAGAAAACTTGGAAAACTCTGTGGAGCCCATTGGTAAGATGAAAACTCACACCTCACCAATGAGCTGTGTATGATTTTAATCATTCTATAAATTAATGTTTATTGAAGTGTGTGTAATAAAGTATTGCAAAATTTAATAAAATCCCTAATATTCTTCTATCTATATTAAATACAATATATATATATAGTNATGTATTTATATATAAAACTTATAAATTGCAACAGGTTTTCTATTCTAAACCTATTATTTATCATATAGTAATAATATATAAAAAGATTCTATGGTTTTTGACAAACTGAAAGATCAATTTATAATAGATATTAAAAGTATTAAAATTGTTATTCAAATTTTATGTTTTAAATAAATAGTTTTTGCATTTGCTTTATATATATATATAAATGAACCTTTTTTGGTCTTTATTTCTTTGTTTTCGAACAATTTCAACTTCCTCTTTCCATTTGTCAACCTCTTTTTGACTTGTTCCTAACTGTTCAGATAATAACAAAATCTCTCTCTCTTGATCTATTACAGATTCTTCTAAATGTTGTAGACGAGCTACCTATATAAAACATAAGTCTAATAATTATTCAAACATTTTTAATTGCATTTAATTATGACATAATAATATCTAACCTGTTTATTTGCAATGGCATTTGATGGCTTGTTTATCATTTTGGTGGCTACTTGTCTAATGGCTGAAATAGCTTGATCTTGTTGCATTTGCAGTTTTTCCCACATTGCTAACAGTTCTTTTTGATGGTTTGCTTTTTGGATCTCTGCTTCCTCTTGAGCTTTATGGAGAAGCTCTTTATATCTGGATAAGCTCTCTTCTTTTTGATCCAGCCTTGCCTTTTTAAAAAATTTCACAATTAAAAAATTGTCTGATATTAAGTATATATCTGAATACAAACTGATTTAAAGATGACACACAAAAAAGAAAAAAATATTTTGTGTCATATAATAAGATCTACAGTTGGCATTGTTAAGAAACAAAATAAAAATGATTGAAATGCATGCATCACATTTGTCTGCAAAGCAAATTAAAGTAAAAAAAAAAAAAACAATAATGTGAGAGCCAAGGTTGATGAAAAAAATTTTTGTTCAATTTAGTTTTTCGTTAAAGTTGTTTTGTTAAAATTGTCAAAGATAATTAAACTATTTTCCCCATGGACTTATTTCCTTGTTGAAGATGATACATCAAATGTGTCACCCAGAATCAACAAGTGAAAATGTGAATATTGGTCCTGATGTACTAAACCTCCTAACGAAGTCATGGGAAAAACCCAGGAGGTGCCCCTGAATAAAAGGAAGGGGATGACAACAAGCCAGAGCAGTCATCATCAACCCTTTTTCCTAAGTGTGTGTGTGCGTTCGCTGATTTCAGCCATTGCCACTCATTGCCCTCGCAAGAGAAAAAGAACTTTCCTTCTTCCAGAGTCACTGAGTCTTCATCAATTTGCCAAGTCTGTGATTACCACTTCCTAGGACCAACAAGTGATTAAGGTATTTACCATCTTGCGAACTTACTGTGAGCTCTCTCTCTCAGTCAGGTTTATCTCTCTATATATCTCTCCCTTTAACAATTGTGATAAGCGTTTAAATTACTTTTTAGCCATTGTACTAAGCTTCTGAATGATCGTACACTTGTAAATAATATCTCGTAGAACTTGTAAATAATATCTATCAATAAACTGGTATTTTTGTTAAATGTTAATTTGTGGAATGTACTTCTTCCAGTCATTTCAATCCGCCTCCATTCCAAGTCTGGAAGCCCACAAACGCAACTGCTCACACTATGAAATTAGTGGTTTCTGTGTCTGTCCATAAAGACACAGTAGTGTCAGTCCTGACAAGATGCCAAGGAGGTGCTGACCCTGCAGTCACAATAATTTTGTATGTCATAACCAAGAAATTATAAGTTTGAGCAATAAATTTAATACAGTAGTACCTCAGGATACAAACGCTTCAGCATACGAAATTTTCAGGATACAACATGAAATTCGAACATTTTTTTGGAGTTTTTGCTCCATGGTACGAACAATAACTCACCATATGACGTTACATTAGTTCACAGTGCCACCGCCATGATCTCGTGTTCCTTCTGTTCATCGTTCTCAGTCTGCATGTTTGCTTTGTCATGGAAGGATCTCGCTCGATAAAGGAAATCTTGAGGTATTATCAGAAAGTGACTGATTTTATTGAAAAGAAACATCCCAAAAAGGTTCACACTGGCTGTATTGCTGCTCAGTTTAATGACATTTGCTAAGTCATTTTAGAAACATTTTAAAAAGTAGGCAAAGCCAAACCTCTTTGGATAGATATCTTACCAAGTGACCTCTATCCAGTGAAAGTGCTGGTGGACGTGAAGGAAAGAAAGCAAAAAGCAGTGAATAAAAAATTTAAAAATATTAAACAGAAAAGATTAAAAAATTAGTACTACTTAGCTTTAATTTGAGTGTGTTTTTCATGTTGGAACAGATTATTTGGTTTTACATGTAATCATATGGAAAAAAATGATTCACCTTACGACACTTTCATGATATGATCTCAGTTTAAGAATGGATTAATTTCATATCCTGAGGTACTACTATATTGCTAAATGCTAAATGGTTTTATAGATATATTTAATTATTCTAAAAGGAAATAATTTAAATATAGTTCTAATAAAATTAATATTAATATTAATGAATAATTCAGAAAAAAAATGTTTGAAGAGTAATAACAATGAAATTGAATGAATTCTGAATTTAAATTGTATTCTATGTTAATAATATATAGTAATAGCATAAATGATGTTGTATGTAATCAATGTCCTAGAATATAAGGTTACCTCATACAACCAGTTTAGCCACTTCCTGCCAGATTCCAGTTATATGTCATCTGGATGTCAAGCAACTGCTTCACAACAGTTAGTGAGAAAAGAAAATTTTGGAATTTCACTATTTTTGTTACTTTGTCTTAACAAAGTAACAAAAATAGTTTTAGACTCTTAATCTTTGAAGGTAAATATATCTATCGTTATTACTATTATTAAGCATATTTATGCTGATAATTATATCGATAAAAATTGTACAGAAATAACAAAACTGTTCCTAGAGCTGTTTGATATTCTGTCATAGTCTTTACACTTCGTTCTGTAGAAATTAAGAATATGATTACAGATGAAATATATATGACGACTACAAATAATAAGCTGTCTGATAACAGGATGGTAATATTTTTAAAAAAACTTGAGATGTAAAAAAGAAATATTGTTTATTATTAATAAATATAACTTTCTTAAAATATGCATATTTACATAAAATGCACAGAAATGCAAAATATAAAAATGTTTTATATATAGCATAAATTTATTGTAGTGTTATTAATTTGTATAATAATTTTTATGTAAGAAATGTTAATACTACTTTTTCTACTTCAAAATATTATATCTTGATTAGATTTATTTGGGAAAATAAAAAAATAGCTAAATTTTATTATTATTTTTAGATGCCAGGAGCATCATGTGCTGTTGAAACTTGTAATAACAACTATCATAACACAAAGTTATTAAACAGGAAAGTTAGTTATTTTAGATTTACTAAAGATACAATAATAAGAAAAAAAATGGATTCATATTTGTAAAGGAAAAGACAAATTCAATGCTGGTTCTTGTTATGTTTGCTCTGATCATTTCACAGAAAATGATTTTGAGAGAAATTTAAAAGCTGAATTATTAGGTTTATTAGCAAAACCTAAACTAAAGAAAAGTTCACTACCGACAGTAAAGTTACGAAATGTAGAAAATGAAAATATTAATCAGTCGAATTAAAGAAAGAAAGAATCGTTTATTAAAAAGAAATAGAAAAAACTGACAGGAAAACTTTTAGATGTAAATAAACATGATAAACCAGAAGAATCTCTTAAATGTAATGATTGTAAAACTTTAGATCTTAATTTTAAATTAAAACATGAAAATTCTATTTTAAAAACTGTAATAACAATAGAAAATTTTAAAAAGTTTGTACCTGATTTCTTTTAATTCTGTTTTGTGTAACACTTAATTTGTATATATTGATATTAAAAATATGTTTATAACATAGAAAATTGTTCTTTTGACAAAGTTATTTTTGTATATGTATGAGTAAATAATATTGTTTTCGGTACATGAGTATTAAAAATTAAAAAATAGACTAATATAATTTTTGGTTTTAAAAAAGAAGTTGTTTGATGATATAAATTAAATTAATTTACTTATATATAAATCATCTAAGTAGAATTTACCAAAATTATCCTTTAAGAAATTATTATTATTATAAAATAGATAAAATCAATTTCATTTACAAAGTAGAAAAACGCATTTTAATTTCATCTTTACACCTAGAAATTACGAAGATTTGCACAATATTCTGGATTTTTCTTGTTTACAATTAATTTTTATTTACATTTAATTAATTATAAATCATAATTAATGAAATATTAGTGTGTAATTAAAGCTAAAGTCTCTGATCAATAATGTTTTTACCATAAGAACATAGTAAGATGTTTTGTTTTGGAATCCATGTGGCATCAAATAAACAACCAATGAGAAGCATTTCTTCTATATGAGGCAACCTTACTTTCTACAATCTTGGTATGTAATATCATTTTTATCAGTTAAAATAAAGTCCTTGTTAATTATTTGTATCATAATTTTTTTAGTTAGTTGCTTCTGAAAGCATATCATCAATATACATTTATAATGAGATGTGACATATTTTACTATTATTTTTGTTTGAGAGAGAAAATTTACCATGTAACTAAAAATGCTTCAACTTAAAAATATATTTTTAATGCTTTTTGATATAAAGTTTAAAATAAAAACTTATTCTGAGCATTTTTTAAAAATTAATAAATTTAGATCATCCAAACTCTTAATTTGATATCTGTATTTTTGATAATACAATAAAAGTACAGAATTAGGAGACCATCAATACCTTGGGGTTAGTCTTTTTGATAATGTGGTTATCAATCATAAATATTTTCACAATACTTCAAATATAATAATATAATAGAATATAATGAAAAGTTGCTTTATATTATATTATATTTTATCTAAATTTTCTTAAATTTACCTGCAAACAAGCAACAGTTGATTGAGCTGTCTTAAGCATTTGTTTGATTTCAGTATGATCTAATGATGATGAAAGTCCATCTTCCATGCTTGAATTTATTGAAATATGACTTCTTAGCTGAGCAATAGCATGATCTCGAGCAAGAATTGCACTTTCAGCTTCTTGTAGTTTTTTCTCTAATTGAGAAATATTCTGAAAAATATATTTTAAACTTAATATCTTTTCTGTAAAAGAATAAGAAAATAATTTAATATAAAATTTTTTTTACATCTTTTAAAGCCTGAATAGTCTCCTGATTTTCTTCTAAAGATGCTTGTTTCATTTTAATAATGTTCACTGCTTGTTCTAACTGGATCTTTTCAGATTGTGAGTGGTCAGGTCTTCCTGAAAATAACTGTTCAAACTAAAAAAAAAAAAAGAATGCAAAAGTGAATATTGTATATATATAAAATTATATTAAAATATTAAAAATATATATTTGTGAATTTACTATGATGTACTTCTGCATAGTTTTAAATATAAATTTGTAAATTATTTTATCTATTATAAAACTATGACGACTACAAATTCATCCACTGATTCTGTTTAATATTGAAGTATTATATATATATATATATATATATACATACATACATACAATGTTCATTTACTTTCTAATCTAAAGTAGCCATCAATGAACTTAGGCCATGACCAGTGGCATGCTGTGACATTTGATGATAGGGAAACTGTGTTTATGTAAGAAGCCAACTTCCAGGGGCAATCGGTTAATTCTTTAAATGTATTTTTAATAGATTATTTAACTGACGTAATTAATAAATAAACAAGTTTAATATAATTACCTCTGTTATTAGATTCAATAGATTCCCTATGCCCTCTAAATGCTGATTCTTGCTTTGATAAAAACATATAACATCTATTAATTTAAATATATCTATTAGCTGTAACTATCTCGTTATAATTTTCAATATTTATTTTATATTATTTACTAATGTTAAATTCTATTCCGCTTCGATTTCCAAATTGCTTCAAATACGAAAGAATCGACGATTTTTCGTGTCTTTTGCCAGCTAAATTGTCAAAGCTATTCTTATTCCACATACTAATTTCATTTGAAAATAATAGGCAAGCCAATAAAACAATTTTTGCATTTTTATGCATTTACAGAGCCATTTTATCGTGAAAATGTCGAACAAATTTTTTTATTGAAGTGTTTATATTTAACTTAGGCATTGGCCTTTCTCTTTTAATAATGTTTTCTTTTTCATTATATGATCTTGAGCCAAAACATTTTAAAAATAAATTTTCAATATTGCAATTACATTCTGAATCGCTAGCCACGATATAAGGGCTAAAATTAAAAATAAAATTATAAAAACCTGCTTGGTGAAATAAAATGTGTGGTGGATATAGTCTACATACTTGATACAAAATATTCTTCAATTGTATGAATATACTTTTAAAGAAAATTATAATTAAATATAGCTTTGTAAAGAAACATACATAAAAATAACATAAAATCTTCTTTACTTTTTAAATCTTAACCACTTAGTCAAATAGCTCTCTACGAGTGGAATCAGAGATGGTCCTGTTAGGTGTGCGGTGTGTGCATGCGCACAGGCTGCCAAATCCCGAGGGTGCCAATACTGGCTAATGTCAAATGCCTCTTTTGTCGCATCACTAGTATATCTCAAAGGACATGACAGGGTGGTTATAAATTTTAAACATTTCTCACCATAGCTGTAAAAATCTAAATATTTTAAACTTATTAGTCATTTGTTTTCTAACTAATTCGTTTTAGGACCAGGTGTCCACAGAAATTTCCAAAATTTACAACTTTTCGGTCACTCTTGTAGAACTGGAAAAATTTCTGTTTATATTATGTCTAATATTACGAAGAAATCAGTCCCCACTGTACTCGGCTAGAGATTGGGTCGGTTAAGCTTTTAAGTAATATTCTGGCTCTTTCAGCAGGGTTTTATTTTTGTCCCTAATTCCCTAATCTCTTAATTATTTAACTACTTCTTAAGTAGAAATAAGTCAAAGCCAGTTACTTTGTACTCGAATATTTGTAGTCTTGGGAAAAAAGTGGAAAGACAAATTTTTATGACAACGGATACATAAATAGTAAATGTAAGGAAAATAAATTCTAGAGCTTTTTCTATACCTCTTGCATTTCTCTCATTCATTAAATTTAGTTGTAAATGATGCTACCAAAGTAACAGTTAATTTTTTAACATTGTACGAGAATTGTACACGTTTTTTCTACATCCCCTTAAAGATGGGACATACGAAATCATAATATCACTGGTTTAATATTGAAATCCATAAGTATTATAAGATGGGAGAGCGGAATAAAAGCAGAATAAATATATCAAATATTTTAATGGATTTTTTTTAACTTCTGTCAACTATACAGAACTATCATAAAAACATACTAGTAAATTCTTATTAGTTGGGTTAAGTTATAAATCTACTCATGATTCACATAATCGGGCAAAGGTGGCCAAATATCTAGCGGGCAGGCAGCTAACAGCCCAGAACTGGTCCTGGATAGAATTGGAAGCGTTATATGTGTAGCATCCACCCAAGGTCCTAGGCTTCCACCACACACACACACACACACACACATCTTTTAATGTCGTAACCAACATTACATAACTGGTTCCGCAGTAAGCACAGCCAGTTTACAGATGTTTTAGGTATTACAAATGTTATAGTTACAATTACATTTGGGTTGAAATTTTTACAAAGTGTAAGAGTAATATGCATTATAGCATAAAGTATTACAATGAGAGGCTGGTATATATGTTATAAATTTACAAATTAGGAAACTAAAGATTAAGTTTACATGTATTGTTTCATATAGAAAAGAGAATTGTTATAGTATGAGAGACAAATTTTTCCATGTGTTGAGAAGGGCACAACAGTATGTATGAAAGTTATACAATAAATAAGGGGTAATATGTAACAGAATAAAATACAAAATATGATAACTACATTAATAGTGTATATAACAAAGTATTTACATCAGAAATAAAATAAACACATAATAATTAATAAGATCAATTAATAATACAATTTTATCAGCAAAAAAAGATTAAGGCAGTCAGGAACTAAATGTTTACACTCAGAGTTTGAAACATTCATCCTGCATCGTAAACAGTCCTTGCTCTAGCAAATTCTATACTGGAAGATTTCTTCGCAAATTCCAAAAAATTTAAACAGTTAATTCATATAGCATCATGCTAAAAGTCTGAGTGATGCTTAGAAGAAACACTTAAACATTCAGTTCACAATTAATTTACAGTTGTAACCTTCCAATTTGGATCCATAAAACATCCTTATCACATATGCACTTGAAAGTAGGTTCATAGAACAATGTTTTAGAGGCACAAAAGAGAAGAATTCACTATATATCACTTTATATCACTTTAATACACTAAGATTCTTGCAAAGATTCGGTATTGTTACAGACCACTATAGGAACATTCTCCCACTAGAAGAGACAATCACATCTTCATTTCTGTGTTGAAATTCAATGCAATATCTATGTAGAGTGATGAGAGGCTTTATGAAGGCGTTAAGTATGGATGTTTGCGATTTTGTCGTAGCTTTTAATTATATTATAAAAATAAATAAATATTTCATTACTGTTCACAAGGTCATTATGAGAGCATGGCCAAGAGTAACCACAGCTAATGAGGATAGATTTGAGTTGTTGTCTTTCTCTTTCAAGCATTACNTACGATTTTGCCGTAGCTTTTAATTATATTATAAAAATAAATAAATATTTCATTACTGTTCACAAGGTCATTATGAGAGCATGGCCAAGAGTAACCACAGCTAATGAGGATAGATTTGAGTTGTTGTCTTTCTCTTTCAAGCATTACGCAATCGAAGATATAATGAGTGCTCCCATCTTCAATTTTACAAGTTAGACATTCTTTATTGATGTATTCAAAAATCTGTGTAGGTACTTGGCAAATTTACCATGATCGGTAAAAAATTGAGTGGACCAAAAACATAGTTTCATCCATGTGTATTTAAAGATATCTTTAATGGTTGGAAAAAATTTTTAAGTAATTTTACCCTCATTGCTGTTCCATTTTTGTTGCCAGTTGTTGAGCATATTGCTCCAAAGAAGGCCCTTGATAGTATTCAAGCTGACCTTGTTATAAGAAATTATAAGCTGATCATTATTAGCAGCGTGTTTAGCCAAGTGATCTGTTCTTTCATTGCTGCTAGTCCCTCTATGTGCAATTACCCACTTGAATTTATAGTCATTATTTGAATTTAAAACAGAATTTTTAATAGCTGTAGACAATGAGCGTTTTAGTGCTTTCAATTGTGGCCAGTGAAGAAGCGCTGTCACTACATATTGTAATTCTTGTACAGGAATAATGTTGATTGGCCCAGGTAAGGGCCTGAAGAATTGTGAACATTTCTGTATGAAAGTTTTTAGAGAATTCTCCCAGACGAAACATTTGATGAGCAATCTCGATGTTATTTGAGTAAACCACAAAAGCACATCCTACATTCCTTTCATTTTTAGAGCCATCAGTAAAAATAACTATATCGTTCTACTGATCAGTGTCTGGTATTCGGATAGGTGAATCACAGGGATTTGAGAGTAAGGGCAGTGGTATTGGACGTTCCAAATCTGATGAAGTTATTGTACCAGTATTAATTTGTACGTCCTCCCCCCTTTTAAGGTGACTGATCTGACTAAAATAATGAATATGCATCTCAATAGGTGGTTTTCATGTGATTACCTGGAGGGCAGAGTTAGGCGCTGTTCTATAAGCTTTTGTCAGTAAAATTAATGCCTTCCTCTGGGCCAAGTTGAGCTTTCTCTTAGGATGCACCTTATGGGATGCCCATCCCCAGCTACTACAAGTGTATGTAATTGTTGGTATGAACAGCTGGTTGTAAATAATATCCAAAGCTTCAAAGGGCAAACCCCGATGGGCCACTCTGGAGAATGTCTGAAAAATCAGACCTGTACGTTTGTATGTAGGTTTCCACCAGCTAAACCGGGTGAGACTGGTGCTCTGTAAAGCGCATGCACGAATCTGGCTGTTTGGAAGCTGACAATACAGCACTTCCACTCTGCCACTAATATTCAAATATACAATAGCAATCTTATCTTTTTTTTCACATGTATTATAGAAATTTGTAATAAGATACATAATGCAGTTATAATAAAATATTGTGTGATTATTTTCATATAATTAAAATTAATATGTATTTATTTTTTAGAAAATACAAGGGAAGCGGCACTTCCACCGCTTCCAATGACAGCATGCCACTGGCCATGACATGTTTGGCCAACCATTTGACAATTCACAACTCATTTGTGGGTCACAGTTACAGAGGAATAGAAAAAAAATCTCAATCTACTAG